GTGTATCACATGGGCCTGGGTCCCATCACTGCCACAAGTGGATTTTACTGCAGCCTAACTCCATTGACTATACTGGTCTAAGAGTCTTAATTCCTCTGTTCCCAGTTTGTCACCAGCTTCCAGGAGCTCATGCTGACATGCAGCTTGCAGTGGTGAATGATCTTCTGCACCAGTTGCTCAGTTGCTTGTGGTCTAAAATTGGAGCCATCTCCTTAGCATGTTCTGCTGTGCCAGCAGCAGAAATTATCAAGGAAACAGTTTGTCTATAAGCAGCAAACGCTGCAGCAGTAGGAGTATTGCCCAGAATCAACCCGCCTTTCTCCCCCAAACAAAGGAGTGCTCAAGTCATCCAAACCATTCCTGAAAGCCAAGCTCAGATGATACAGCTATTTTTACATTGATAAAAAGCACCCAACCAAACAAGAACATTGTGATGCTTATGTAGTACTAGTAGTAAGGGCTTTTCTAGCACGTCTCTAGCTAGGTCCTCCTGTGATGAAGCTACTACAGAGTACACCAGCATGTTTTGGATTTCTTGATGATTAATACCATGCAGACTTGGGGGGAGGAGGGGAGAGAGACGGTTCGACAAGCCCCAAGTGATCTCATGTTCAAAAATGACCTGGGTACACACTTAACAGGCCTTTGGCTTTCTATAAAAATGATGTTCCTAAGTGTTTCAGGGCCAGATTTGTGCAGGTTTTGTGAGCATCTTTGCAGGTTATGTGCTTAACACCTATAGAAAATCAAAATGAAACCTGCTTCTGGCAGCTAGCTGGATTTACAATGGTGCCTAAATACCCATGTGAGTGTGCCTTGTGAAAAGAAGGCACAAGTCACTTGTGAAAAGAAGGCACTTCGACAATATTGAGCACTCTACCCTGGGAATCTGGCTACCTATACAAAGAAGTTAACAAAACTGTATATCACCCGTGTGATTAACACAGGGCATAACATGGTCTTTGTCTGTATATGAGGAAAGAAGTGAGCAGAGTTGCTATATCTATGTGGGAGATGGATTGATTATCCTTGATCTTCTCAGCTATTTTGTTTGGTGCATCTCCAAGCACAAAGTGCAGACTTCCACAGATTAAGTTTTCTTATCTGTTACATGGGCCAGCCTCACCATCTTGAAATTACTTGCAATCCAACTGGTATTGAGTGGAATTGCACTGGTATGAATGGGAGGAGATGCATAGCATACTTAGTATGACAAGGCAAACCAGCTGGGCTTACTGCCACTGCCCGAATACACACACACACACACACACACACACACACACACAGAGCTCTCCAACAGCTTGGTTATTTCTTATGTCTCAACTAAGCAGGGACAATTTTACAAGCTTCTGATATATCTGCAGAACGTAGCCCAAGGAGTTAATCTGTTCATGACTGAGCAGCACTTTGAAGATGAAAAGTGCTATATAAATGTTCAGCGTTGTCATTAAGGAGGGGGGAGTGTGGCAGCAGGGAGGAAGACTTTAGATACTGCTCCACAGAGCAGCTGAGATTTGCTGATAAGGTTGTTGCTGCAGCAACCCAAAGCTATGAAAGTCTCTCAGTAAGTACAACAGCAGCAACTGATAACTTGCCATTTTCCCCTTAATGCTCAGATTTGAGAAAAAGGCTGTATGTTCATCTGGACACCGTAGGACTCAGATTCTGACTCTGCCCAGGTAATACAAAATATTGCCATGATTAGTTTGACTGCTAATCATCTTGTGAAGATTGCATGTCAGGCTTTGTGGATTTGTCCTGCATACTGTTCATTATGCTTCTCTAACCCATTCCTCAATTTCTTCTGTCAGGTAATATTAAAATCACTGGCCCTGCAATCAGGCTTCACGCGAGCCCAAAGATCGATCCATCTGCAAGGATCCATATGCAACTTAAGGCCGGTGCCCTTAGCCTGAGCAGAACACCGCACAACCAGAGTGTATGCTCCACTAAGCCAGCTGTAAGCATTTGTGACTCTGGTGGGTGGACTAAGGAAATATGACCTCTTCAGTCTGATGGTCACATAGCAAGCTCAGAAAAACAGAAAGAAACCTCCTCATTTGTGGCTGTGCATGTGTTGACCACACCCAATGAATGTCAAAGGAAGAGAAATTAGGAAAACAGCATTTCTCCCTAGGATTTCATCTTCCCGGCAGAACACTTCAGGTCTCTGATTCACATCAAAAAAAGGGAGAGGGAACTCTGGAGCTGTTGTCTTATTGCCGTTCCTCTTCCGTGCTTATCTTTGGAAGTTTGGCTTGTGTAATAAATCTGAGCATGTCAGCCCAAATGAAGTGCGTATTCATTCTCTTTTACCAGTTCACTTCAAGGAAAGAAGACAAATTATGCCTTGTGAAAGAGCCATTTGCTATAAAGTGTAAAAATGCTTTAATATTAATATTTTATAATAAAATTCATGACATATTTATAAACACTCTATCAAGCATTTACAACTGAACCACAGCTGAGAGCCTGGAACGGAATAAATAAGCAAGGACACAGCTAGTATGAAATATACATCTTAATTTTATAATCGTGTGTGCTTTATTCTTTACACAAATGGAATGGACGCGTAGAGTATTTACACTTAACAGGAGTGAAAGCTGTATCGTGTATTTTGTAAACGCCAGTTCCGATTCAGTGTACCCCAAACTACAGCTGGATTGAGAAACATCCTGCTAAAGAGAAACACATCATCAAACGTGTCAAACAAAAGCAGTCTACTGTATACAGCCGGTTGCACTCGAAAGTTCAGACTAGCTGATTCCAACTCAGGAAACGCAAATCCGGAAACGAAAAGGATTAAAAGTTCCTTATCCCGCTGGGACTTAACAGCAGTGTTTCTTTAGATCTTTCCCAGCGTTTTGCTAGTGATGCATTCTACCCTCATACGTAGTCTTATATCAGGCCATCATTGTTACTTCGCTGTTGTTACTGAGGGTCAGACCATGCACATTACTAGCTGAGTGTGAGGGACACTAGTATGCTCTGATTTTCACTGTTTTCGGGACAGACTCAAAAAATGTCCAGTGCCCAGTAGCTCCTATTGTTTTCAGTGGGCTGCATCCTTTTGAATATCTGGCCATGGACTGAATCTCTGGTGACAGTTTACATAGCACCTAGGTTAGTGGGGTCTCAGTCCATGACTATAGGAGGCACCACAGTAATGCAGATCGGAAAAAAAAAACATAGATCAAAGTGGGAGCTGAGATCCTGTAACAGTATGACCCAAGCTGAGAGCACTGAACACTCATGAAAGCTTTGCCCTTAATCCCATCCAGCCGCTTTTATAAATTGAGTTTTTTTCCTAAATATTGGCTTAACTAGGGGCAAATGCTAGCTATATATAACTTAAGGTGGTGTACACTGGATGAATGCCACTGAAACCAACACAGTGACAGCAGTTTATGCCATCTGGGAATCCAGCTTATTACTCATCTACTTTTATATATTTACTGCTTAGCAATTAGGTTTAATTTACTGTCCAATTTGACGACGGTTTGTGCCCTGTCATACTTCAAGGGAACCACCCTTCCTTTAATATAATGATGACCTAATTATTACTTCTGAGCTAACTGATGACATCTTATGGGACTGGAGAATACACTGACTTAGTCGAAAAATGGGCGCAACAGCATGAAAGTGGTCATACAGTGAAACTCATGCATAAAGAATGGTTAAAAAAAAACAATGGAATTAAATGAGGCAACTGATTGAAGACTGCCTTTTGTCAATGGAAACAGAGGCTGGCTTTAACTCTGAGCCTTTAAAAAGAGGACAGAGACTTCTGTTCTTCAGGCTTTTTCTAAATACTTACATAGATGGTGACATGCTGAATCATCCTTTTGTGGATTTAATGGGAAAAACCACAGACGTGATTCAGCTGAATTTTGATAAGTATTTAGAGCAGTGACAGTGTGACAGTAACAAACTCTCCGGAGACAAACCATGTTCATAGCGGGACAGTGATCACTCAGTAGGACACCGGTATGTTAGCTAACAATGACTCACCATTATTATTTGCTCAGATTCATCACTGCTCTCCAGGATGAGGATTTGAAATTTCAGTGCAACAGAGAGATCTCTTAACCCTGGCTTTTGCAGGGTGGCTTCTAGGGCCCTATCGACACTGGAGCACTAAACCATGCTAGCTACAAACACAGTTACATTACAGAATATTTATTTAGAGACATCCTTGAATACCAAAGAAATTATAAAGCACTAGCATGGGCAGGGTGCCTCTGTATCTGTAGAAGAAGAGGGAGCTAAGCAAGGAGGAGAGGCTCTTAAACTGGCTTGTGATTCTAGCACTAGGTAGTTAGACTCTCAGAGTGAAGGGTCACTGAGCCCCATTAGCAAATACAAAGAGAGCTCAGTGCCCAGGAGATGATGTGCAGGAAGGAGAAATGAATAGTTTGAAGTATTGCACCAATCTGCACAAAGAGAGTAAGATGTCAAAGTGATCACTCATGGGTGGACAGCAAGCCATGATATTTTTTGGTTCAACTTAGACCCTACGGTGCTACACGTTGTGCCAGAACATATGAAATAGCACCAGTGATATGATCTGGCACTTTCCCTAAAGGGTCCAGCCTTTGCATGTTGTCTCATGTCTAGACACCTGCAAGTCCTTTACATGGATAGAGTGAGAATCTGATTATGCTTAATGGTGTTAGCACCAATATGGTCTGAAGTGCCAAATGGTGAAGGTTTGGATATTTTTTTTTGCACCAGATGCCACTTTAAGTTAATGTCAGAATTCTCCTCCCCCTTTACCACCCAATATGACTTTGAATGTGGCTGCGATACAAAAATTAGCTGCAGCATGAAGAATGTCAGAATGTGAAATGCAAAACATCAAGACACAGGACAAATGGAGCCGTAAGCCCTAACAGAAATAAGACCTCTCACTGCTTCTCTTGGTGATTTTTTTTTTAAATACATACGTTTTATTTAAAAAAAAATATATAAGTGCAATGGCAACTCTAAACTGGAAGCACAAACAACAGACAGGGAAAAATAAATTATGTTACTACAGTAACCAAGGACTGATGGAGAACTGATTGTACTCAGCCATAGTGTTACTGTTCACTGTAAAGCACAGCACATGACAAAACAAAACATTTACTAATAGTATCTTAAAAAGCTCCATGCTGAACTAAGAAACAAAGAAGCAGATTGGATTGCTTAAAAACAGAGCTGAGAATTAGAACGGAAGTTTCTGCTTTAGGATACTTGGTTTTCAGTTTAGATGGCCTAAAGCCTAAATTGAGACAATGGTACTTTGCTGACATGGAAAAACCCATGATTTCCAAAGATCTGGGGTCATCGTGTGGATTTCGGCAAATGTATCCAAAAAACTAAGCTTTCATTTATCCGGTTAGCTTTTAAAAAAAATGTCTAGCCCTTCTGGTTATGAAGATCACTTGGAGACTCTACTGATACACTGTTGTCTGCTGACCAGGCAGATAAATTAGCAATTAAAAGAAGCAACAACTTCTCATAATCATCTTAATTGGGCATTAACCATGAAGCCTAGTGATAGCCCATGAAGTGTCCATAATTATTAACCCTGTCACTGCTGATGGCTGTATTAGGAACATCCAGCTAATCTGCTCATCTCAAGGGCAGCTGGAGGTACTTGTCATAGGTTAATAGCGTGTAGCAATGTAAGTCTTGAACAGGCAAGTAACTGAATATTCCCTTGCTCATTCAGATAACTTAAGTGCTTGCCTATAAAATAGTCTTAAAAGGTAGGGTTGAAGCAGCCACCAGCTCAGAAATGTCAGACTCCCATAGTGAACTAGGCAGGAGTCTGCAGGTTTTCCATAAAACGTGGTCAAGCAGCAGCAAAGGCGATTCAGTTTAACAACGTCATGTATTTTCTAAGAATCCTCCTTGTATGCTACAGTGAAGTATGTCATCAGTAGACAACGGAAGGGCCCAGTGAAACAGAAAACATGAACTCCCCACCCCCACGTACCCCAAATTGAAATTCCACAGACTTTCCCCAAATCCCCCACAAAGGTCCACTGCTCCATATCATCTTTTGAAACCCTTGTTGACCAGGAAATGAAATGAAGATACAAATTATTCTGTGGTCTACTGGCAAAAAAGAATAAGCGCTTTTTGTATTTCACTTAAAGAATCAGGAACAATTATAAAACATTTTCAAATGAAGCTTATGGTTCCCTTTGGAGGAGAAAATCATAAACTGCATTTGAGTCACTGAGATTTTGCTTCTGGAAAAAATAATCAGCTTCGGTTTAAAGATGCCTCATGTTTACACTTAAGAAAAAAAATATCTATCCTATACGGCAGTCAATTGAAGAGTTCTTTCCACAGGAGTTCATCATGGTTAAATAAAAGAAAGAAGGAGGATTAGATTGAGGGGAAAAAAACCCTTCAAAAAACAAATTGACATCTACAATTTAAGAAATTAGATGGTTTGTCAATATTATTAGAGAATCTGTTGCAAAAAGGGGTATTGCAACTTGAGGGTCCTCGTTACATTTTACAGCCAGACCAGGGTGTAAATATTTAATCTTTCCATTAATTAATCTTTACAAAATATCTCACAAAAACATTTTTTCACCTATAGAAATTAGTTTCTATACATCAATATATTTTTTATTTTATAAATTATTCCATCTTTAAGTGCCTTCTGTCTGTATAAATGATAAAATAGACAATCAAAAATTTTAAAGCTTTTCCCAGCTGTATCCCTCTTTGTCAGTTTAGGTACTGTGAATCCTACTGTGTGTGTGTGTGTGTGTGTGTGTGTTCGTGTGTGTGTGTGTGTGTGTGTGTGCATACACACGATGGGAAATGCTTCCATTCCCTTTCTACCCCCAAATTCCCTTAACATAATCTACATGGTTATTGTTTCCTGATGTCACGGAGTATCTAGAGGAGAAAAGGAAATGCTTGTCTTGTTTTCAGAAATCAAAGGATGTGCATAGTTACCAAAGTCGAGGTGTACCAACTACAGATGTGCAATGACAAGCTAAGGACCAGATCCAGCTCCTTGTCAAGTCAATGGGAGTCCTTCCACGGACTTCAGTAGCAACTGGATCAGGTTGTCTGGGCTTGATCCTGCAAGGCGCACATGGCCCCAATCTGTCGAAACACTTATACCCATGCTAAACTTTAAGCCCATGAGTAGCCCTATGGAAGTCAATGTGACCGTGCAGCGTAGAGTAAGATTGCAAATGAGTCCAAGTCAATGGGACTACTCACATACACATGAATTGGGGTCAAGTGTTTAGAGCCTTGCAGGATCAAACCCTCTATGAGGTTGAAGAGCTGGGAACTTCTCTTTAAAGCGATCAACAACTAACATACTGAGCTCAGCCATTCAATCAGAATGTCCTTTTGGGCACAGTAGGTGGCTAGCTCCCCTTGACAGAGGGTCTCCACATCAAAAGTTTATACCTACAACTGGTGCTTTGAGCACATGACAGATTTGCTTTATAGGGCAGAAGTCTTTTTGTTCCTACCCTTTTGACCCATCAGTGTCCTTCATGGCTTCAAACACTTTGTGTTGTACATTCATAAAAATTCACATTGACTGCAAGAACATAAATGCAACAAAAACAGGAAAGCCTCCAAATAGTATATTATAGTTTTCTTCTAAATATTCTTCTCTCATTATCAGATGTGAAGTGACTAATTTATAATTTTTCCTTTGAAGGAATCCAGATGAAAGGCCCAGATTGTTCTTCAATTACAAGTTTGCATTGATTATATATATCTTCTAGGCTATCTCCTTGGACAATAGCTGTAATGAGGAAACATACCAAACCTTTTTTAGTGAATATATTCTACAGCATCAATTATCAGTACAATTTCAGTGTTAACATGGGATTTGTGAAATGGGAAGAAATAATAATACATGCGAACTGTGTTGGGTAGGGAATAAACATGGACCATGAATGTGATAAATGAATCCATTACAATGTCAACCCACCATAAAAGTTATCCCTTGCTACTGTTTATTAGAAGACCATTTAATCGGGGTTCACTTCTACCTCAGCAGGAGGTATCATCCTGGAAACTTTCATCCCAAAGAGGGCCTACTCCATAAGGGATGGGTTTCTGCTTTTGAAGTCAAGCTTTATACTTTGCTGGGGGACCTCCAGCAACAGATTCAGAAGAGATGCATTAATCAACCCATCTATTGACAAACTCGGAAACCTCAGGAAAAGAGTAGTGTGGCTTTCAGAACTAAAACCCAGAACCTCAAAGGATTTAGGAGCTGCAACCCTGAGCCCTAAGTCTAATGGCTATGTTTTAGGTGACTAGAGAAGAACCCACAGTCCCAAATGAGGACTTACTATATATTACATAGGGAAAATGAGGTGCATCAACCAGCACCCTGATGAAGGAGCTGCCTAAGTCAGCCTATAGGAAATGATTAGGACAAGGGAGTGCCTTAAATTCCGATTCTCTCTAGGTTTAGGGCTGGAGAGAGGCACACCCATCTACTGGGTATGCACAACGTTGAATCCTCTCCTTGAGTTGGGATGGCATTTTCTGTTGGTCAGTGCCAATCTGGTCACATTCACTTATTAAAATCAATGGCAGAAGTCTACTGGATTGTGTGGGGAAAGAATTGTCAGTGAGGGCTTTTTACACATCACTGAAGTTAATAAGAGCTTTGCTGCTAGCTTCAGCAGGAACAGAATCCAGTTCCTGCATATCCATTACCTTATGAGTTCAAACATGCATGATATTGAAAATTTTCAACTCCCACTGATTTCAACATGAATTAATACTGTCTTCTTTAAGCATGCATAATGCTTCATACTATAAACAAACTACTTGTGATCATGAACTGAATCTGTGGGGACACATTTTGAAATATTTTGTACCTGTAAAGTATTCTCCAAATTCTTGTTCTAACTTAATTGCACGATCGTAGGTTTTCTTGGCTTGTTCTTCTGTAAGACGTTTATTCATCTCCCTAAAAACACATTGAAAGCAATAATTGAATTACTGAGTCTGCATAAACCAAGACTGAGCAACGTACTCAAAGATATGCTGTATCTTTGTAAGTTATTGGGCTTGATACTAGAATAACTAGGGTTAAATGTAAGGGGATCAAAATAAACTATCACAATCGTCACTTATGGCTTATCTCTGTGTATCATTGAAAGTTTAGGGATCAAGAGAGAAGAGAATGTCTCTTATCATAGTGCATGCTGAGAGCAGGGTATGGAGGGCAAGATGATGACTCCCAAAGGGGACTTTTCTGACTGGTAGAATTGGGACTAGGTCGTGTGTTGAGCCTGGCTCTTGGGCAAACTCCCACTGAAGTACTGGGGCTGGTTTTGTTCCATATCTTCATCAATGACCTGGAAGATGGCATAGAGTGTACCCTAAGCAAGTCTGAAGATAACACCAAGCTGGGGGAAGTAGTAGATACACTGGAGGGTAAGGCTAGGATTCAGAGAGACCTAGACAAATTGGAGGATTGGACCAAGACAAATCTCATGAGCTTCAATAAGGATGAGTGCAACGTCCTGCACTTAGGATGGAACAAACCCATGCACCAGGGCAGGCTGGGGGCTGACTGACTGGGCAGCAGCTCTGCAGAAAAGGACCTGGGGATTACAGAGGACAATAAGCTGAATATGAGCAAACAGTATGCTATTGTTGCAAAGAAGGCTAATGGCATATTGGGCTGCATTAGCAGGAGCATTGCCAGCGGATCAAGAGAAGTGATTATTTCCCTCAATTCTGTACTGGTGAGGCCACATCTGGAGTAGTATGTTCAGTTTTGGGCCCCCTACTACAGAAAGCATGTAGACAAATTGGAGAGAGTCCAGCAGAGGGCAATGGAAATAGTAAGGGGGTTGGGGCACATGACTTCTGAGGAGTGGCTGAGGGAGCTGGACTTATTTAGTATAGAGAAGAGAAGACTGAGATGGAATTTAATAGCAGCCTTCAAGTTCCTGAAGGGTGGTTTCAAAAAGGATGGAGCTGGACTGTTCTCAGTGGTGACAGATGACAGAACAAGGAGCAATGGTCTCAAGTTGCAGCAAGGGAGGTTTAAGTTGGATATTAAGAAAAAAACCTCTCTCAGTAAGAGGGTGGTGAAGCACTGGAACAGGTTAAATAAAGAGGTGGTGGAATCTCCATCCTTGGAGGTTTTGAAAGGTCAGCTTGACAAAGCCCTGGCTGGAATGATCTAGTTGGGGATGGTCCTGCTTTGAGCAGGGGGTTGGATTAGATGACCTCCTGAGGTCCCTTCTAACCCTAATTTTCTATGATTCTATACTGCAGGTAGAAACCACTTTTTCCCCAAGTTCATTAGCATGAATTTAGTCCATATGTTTCTCTGAATACAGGCATTTTCATTTTTCTGTACCATCATGCCTTATATAGTCCCCTATATTCCTTTTATTTGAAGACCCTAGACCTGGTCTGTTATTCCCATCCCATTTCTTCAATAGCAAACCTCAAAGGTGAACAAACTGGGCTAATATGAGTTTAAATTCCATGATCAAAATCACAGAAAACTGTGAAAAACAAAACTCCCAACAGAAAAGTTAGCTTCATGCTGCATATCTGTAAGAGTAGCTGTTTCTGCTTTTCTTGTTAACTGTGTAGTTTCTATGTCATAAAGTGTACAAGATAAAAATGTACAGGGTAATTTAGTGTACAAGATAAAGTACAAGAAGAGGTACAAGATAAAAATGGACCAACAACACTCTAAGATTACACCATTTCACGATTTGATGGAACATTTATGTTCACAAGGGCAGCATTTAATAATTGTAAGAAATGTACTGTCATGTATGTATGTGCGTGTACAGCCATTAATATTGCATATTGTAACTCACAAAGGGTAGAGTCCATATTGACTTAGTGCCTCATGTACACCAGGAGATGTCCAAAACCTTAACAAAAACATATAGACCTAGTTTGTTTTACCTTTTCTATTACACAGTTTATTTTTGTTTAGAATAAGAGGGAATTTTGTCCTAAGGAAGGGGAAAAAAGAAAGAAAGAAAGGAAACATCCTATATTCCACATAACCTGATTTAATCACTGCATCATGTGAATATGCGGTAATGGGCTGTATATAGAACATGTGCGATGTGCATTGGGAATTATGTGCATGATGATGCATAAAAGATGATATATGAAGGGCCACGACAGCATGGATTTGTTACAGCTGACTGACTACTTAGTTTCTTTCACAGGATATAGAAATCTGCCTCCTAAAAAGTACAGTAAACGTTGTGGAGCTTAAAGCTACAAAAATGTTTTTCTATTACTGTCTCTCAAGTCAGCTGCCTGCATAACTAAGTCTGTAACCCTGCAAAGGCTACTCTAATAATCATATACTCTGTATAGCAACATCTCAGTAAATGTATTACGAAGTACAGCCTTTCTCCAGGAAGCAGATTTACAGTATACAAGAGAGGGAAGGCTTATTTCAAAATCAAGGGCTTTATTAATAGACTAGGGATTAGTATATGCAAATTTGTCCCATACTGCTAAGTTTGTAATACTTCTTTCCCAATTCTATGTATGGGAAAGATTGCTATCTAACACATTTCAGACATGAGCCTCTTTTGGGCTAAGGCCTTGTGGCTATAATGTAAAAGGGTTTAAATGACACCTACTTTAAACCTCCTTTGCAAATTGCCAGAATAGTATGAATGAGATCTATTAGCGATCAGACCCTTTATCATTAGAGAATCATTCCAGCAATAAAGCAGCTTTTTGAGTTTTATTTCTGTGTTTTTTCTGCTTATAGTAATATTTTGTCTATTACAGTTCTGGTTTGTTATGAAACTGACTCTGATAATGTTTTTCTGGGGGGAAATAATGACTTAAGTATAGCTAACTGGTTCATAACCTGGTATTTGTCCTGGTATAACTGTTTTCATGTGATTTTTTTGCTTGAATAGGTTATGAGTATAAACCTATAACAATTAATAGTGAAGACACAGTTAGATTGGTATAAAGGTACAGTTCCTCTTCCCACTGGGGAACTGCTATACTTACATAAAACATCTTGATACAAGATCCACATCATCCATAGTAGGTAGGGCTGTGCAAAGCTTCAGTTCCTGATTTGATTTGGTGGAGATTCGGCCTGATTTGGTGGCCGAATCTCTGAATCTGAATTGAATCAGGAGACCCTTTAATCTCTCCGAATCAAATCAGAACCTTCTGAATTGATTCAAAGAGATTCGGAAAGATTCGGCGATTCAGACATAGATACAGTTTTAAATGTTTTTTCTACATACCTCAAGGTAGCAGGTGGCTTGTGAAAGCTTCGATGCTGGGGCAGATGGGGCGTCCCACAGAAGCATGGGGAGCTCCCCAGTGCACTCAGCAGCAGATCTGGAAGTGGACCAGATGGACATCCGCTCCACTTCCAGGTCCAGCAGGGAGTGTGTGGGGCCCCCCCCTCCCCACAATCCGCCCAGCTTGGCAGCTGGTGTCTCCTGGGTCTGGGGGGGCACCCGGGGTCCCCCACAGCTGATCGCAGAGCCAGGGAGGTGCGGGGTGCAGGGAGAGTGGGGGGAGAGGGGGCCCAGTGCGCTCCCTGGCAGACCAGGAAGTGGACTGGAACTAGTTCCAGTCCACATCTGGGTTCACCGCCAAGCATGTGGGTGGCCCCCCTGCACTCCTGTGGGATGCTCAATCTGCCCCACCATCGCACCATTCACAAGCTGCACCTGGTACCTCAAGGTATGTAGAAAAAACATTTAAAACTGTGTCTATGGCCGAATCACTGATTCTCTGAATCAACATTGAATCTTCAGATTTGGATTCAGCTGAATCGAGTTGGGGACAGTAATCTGAATCAACGAACTGAATCATTGTCTCTGATATGGGCTGAATCCGAATCCGAATCGAATACAGCCCGCTTCATACATCCCTAATAATAGGTAGGAGTTGTACTGTTTTAACTGTACTGGAATAGTTTAAATAGTGCAACTTTTTCTTTGAAGATGAGCCCTTGGCTATACATTTTGGTGTTAGAAACCTTAACAAAGATATAGTAATTTAACTACAGTACTCAGTAACATAACCTTTCTGACAAGGAAGCTCTGTGTGGTGTCATCATTCTTTTGACATTGTTGAGTGTTATATTAGCCTTGTTAAAGCCATGCATATTTATATTTAGAATTAATTTTTGGCAATGTTTGATCCATTAGGCACATATTAAAGAGATTATTGTGGGACTATGAATTGTGGGGGAAAGTATGTTCCAGTCATTTTGGGTGCATTCTATGCTTCTCTTAACTTTCATAGTAACTGTCTTATTGTGCTTGGGCTGGCTACTCATATAAACCTTACTACTACTAATAAACACTGTTGAGTGATAAGAACCCTGGATGTTTGCTGATGCCAACAAAAGCCTTAATTTCTAATGGAAAGTTTCTTTTGCAGAGCACTTCTAGAATAAGATGTTCAGAGAGCTATAAAAGTCACTTATTCAAAATGCAAAAAAATAATGGATTTTGCATTGTTTGTCCCTTCAGTGCTGTCAGCTCTGATGAGATTTACTTGAAAGCTTTTTTTTTATTCTAGTGAAAGTGAAAAATAGCCTAGCAATATTTTTGATACATATCCTTAAGGGAACTGCCACTAACTCTACATAATTCAAGAAGACCTAAGCTTAACATTAGCATTCTTCTGTTTAATAACAGGCGAACAGTCATAATTCATTACATCCATAAAGCACTTTTTGTCCAGTGAGCTCAAAGTGCTTTACAGAGCTGGCTAGATATCATATCAAACAGATAAAGCCTTTATTTTATTTTTACCTCTACTTTTCATATTATGTTCCTTTGTGTGTGTGTGTGTGTGTGTGTGTGTGTGTGTGTGTGTGTGTGTGTTTAGATTTACATGCTCCTCAGAGCATTTGTGCCGTGCCAGAGGCAATGTCAGTATTCAACAAATAATGAGAACTTTCTACAGATGGGGAAAACCCATATTGGTTAGTGATTTCTCTGAAAAAAAAGTGTGATGGACACAAAACGGAGGCTGTCAGACTTTCAAGTCCATTCTGAAGCAACATAATATCATAGGAATGTAAGGCTGCAAGGTGCCTCAGGAAGTCCATCACCTTGACCTGTGGCAGAATTGAGTATGATAGACTATCCCAAGGTCAGACCGATCTTTGTCTAACCTATTCTTAGAAACCTTCAACCGTGAGGATAGCACAGCATCCTGAGGAAACTTGTTTCCATACTTAACCATCCTCATAGAAAATTTTTCTTAATATCCAACTTCAATCTCAAATTACATTAAATTAAACTGGTTACTTCCTGTTATACCTTAAGTGGATGTGAAGAATAACTGATTGCCATCCATATTCTAAGGGGTGTATTTGGTAGCCATGTTGGTCTGAGACAAAAAACATACAAAAAATTAGAACTCTTGGTTCCAAAATGATACCTTTTAGTTGGTCTAATAAAAGGTATCATTTTGGGACCAAGAGTTCTAGTTCTTTGTATATCCATATTCTAACAACTTTTCACGTAGTGAAGAATGTTATCATATCTCCCCTCAATCCTCTCTTTTTTAGATGTAGCAAGCCCAGGTTTTTTAATCCTTACTCATGGGTCATGTTTTGCTTCTGTTGCTTCCCTTAGGACTGTATTTAGTTTGTCTACATCTCTCTTGAAATATGGTGCCCAGAATTGGACACGGTATGCTAGCTGAAGCCTCACCAGTGCCAAGTAGAGCAGAATAATCATCTCCTATGTCTTGGAGCAAAGCCATATACAAGTGAACATGTTCCTGCTCATGTTGTAGGCTCCTGCGCCACTTAGAGTATGGGCACACAGATTAGTTACTGGAAAGTAAAAGGGATGGGGATTTACTGCATATTAGCTGGTCTGCAGAAGCTATGTATGTGTATACTCTTACCTCATGGTAGAGCTCAATGAAAAACTACAATCATTTAACTTTCATCTACTGTAGGCATGCACCCACACAGTTAAGGGCATGCACCCACACAGTTACCACAATGCACTTGGTCCTCACCCCTTAGTAACTACTTTGCATGCACATATTCCTGTAGATGAGACTCCTGTTAATACATCCAAGAATAATCTTTGCTTTCTTTGCAACAGGCCCACACTATTGACTCATATTCATTTTGGGTACTGCTGAATCCCCAAGCTCTTTTGTACAGTACTACCACTTATATTTGCGCATCTATTTTTTTTTCTTCCTTTGTCTTTATTACATTTCATTTTCCTGATTTCATTTTCCAATGTTAATCCTATCCTCCAAAGTGCCTTCAACCCCTCCCAGCTTGGTACCATCTGCCAATTTTATGAGTGTACTCTTTCATTCAAATAGTTAATTGAAATATTGAATAGCACCAAATTACAGACACATCTTTGCAGACCCTACATGTCTTCCTAGATTTATATCAAATCACTGATAATTAGTTTCTGACTGATTTTTCAACCACTTCTGCTCCTACCTCATGATAATTATATCTGCATGATATGCTTCTAGTTTGCTTAGGAGAAATTTATGTGGGACACTATCAAAAACCTCATTAAAAATCAACACATATCATATTTATTGCTTTCTGCTTATCCATTAGGTCAGTTATCCTGTCAAAAGAAGGAAATTAGATTGGTTTGACAGGGCTTGCTATTGACAAATCCATTTTGACTGTTTCTGATCACCTGATTATCTTCTAGATGCTTACACATAGATGGTTTAATAAACTTGTTCCAGTTCCTTTGTGCCATTGAGGTTAGATTGACTGAATAATAATTCCCTGTGGCCTTCTTTCCTCCCCATTTAATGACTGAGACCATGTTAGTGATTCTCCAGTCCCTTAGGACCTCAGCCATCCTCTAAGAGTTCTTGAAGCATATGCTCATGGTTAGTAGTCTACCTTGGCTTGCTCCTTTATAAGATATGTTTCATAAGGACAGCTCAATATTACTGTATATACATGAACATAAGTCCTTTGATATTCTAGGTTTCTTTTGATTTGTTTTCTATTGACTTTGCAGAACAGGCAAAATGCTGGCACCCCTGAGACAGAGGTCTAAAAACAGTACAAAAGAGTTCATACTTACATCAATGGTTCCCAAGATTTAGGCTTAATGAAGATAGCAATGGGATACAGTTGTGCAACTTGTAGTCGCTTAATAGCATTTCCTGATACATCAAGTATACAGTGCTTGCCCTGTTGGAAACAGATGATGACATGTTTATTTCTGTAGTGTGCATTGCAATTCAATGATAAGAAAGGAAGCAATTCTACAATGCAATGTTCCAGAAGAGAATCACCACTGACACCCCAGAAACAGGGTGGACTCCAGAGCATTTATTTAGCTATTTATTTCTAAAACATTTCTTTTGCCGTGATGCCAATATAATACACTGAAGATATAGAAGCAAACTTATTTGTCTGCTTTGGAGAATCAGTTAAGATCCAGTTAAGGGGGTGCTGGTATTTAGATATTTAGGGGACTAGAGTGGGACTCAGGGAAGGCGTGGGGCTCAATTTGTGATACAGTAGTAAAAAGTCATAGCCTTTGCTGCTCTAGGTGCTATTTAGACATCCAAATGTAGCTAAGCGTCATTTCTGGCACTTGGGAAGTTTTTAGATTCTGCTTTCTGATGTGTACCTACACTTGCCTTTCTCAGTGTATGGCTCTTCAATGGCCAGGGTCACTGGGATAGGTGCATGCAAGTCCCTTAAAGTGTCTGTGGAAAGACATGACAACTGGCAACTGTTTGACACTAGAGGAGGAGAAGGGCTACAATTGTTAACATGTGTAAAGCACTTCTTGCAAACAATTGTAGTGACAATACTACCTATAAACCACTTTTCATCTTCAGTCACTTTACAAAGATTACCTACACAAATATTCTGGCGGCTACCCCTGTGGAAAAGGTGTGTATCCATATTGTACAGATAGGGAAGCTCAGAGGTTAAATCACTTGGTGAGGGTCACAGAAGTAGCTCATATCAGAGCTGGGAATAGAACTTGTGATTTTTTTATATATGCAGAAGGTCACACCTGATAGGCAGCTTTGGTGTGAGGTAGGCTGTGTTGCATGTGCAGTAACAATAGAGTGTCAACCTACCCTTTCTGCCACAAATCTCACAGACTGCACACTAGTTCCATATAAATTATCATTGTACTGCCCAGCTTCTATAAATTTGTGCTCCTGGATGTCCTTTTCCATTTGTTCTCTTGAAGTGACAAAATGATAATCTCTCCCATCTACTTCATAATCACGCTTTGGTCTTGTAGTATCTGCATGTAACAAAAGATGAGAAAAATCAAGCTGTTCGTAGGCTACATCTGAGGCAAAAACTACTACTTAAGAACAAGTTATGCAAACTCTACCCTGGGGCAAATAAGATCTGAGTTGTAACTTAGAAATGCTGCCAATATTTGAATAATCATCTCCAAAAAATGTCCCTTTTAGTCTTTGATAAGACCTGCATACTCGGGTTGACAGAGCTCACAGAGGATAGAGACAAATGACCAAATGCATCCAAGATGTTCTCCCAATTAAATAGCACATTGTCTCCTATAATCATTCAAGGAGAGAAACCAGGAACAGACCACAAACATGGTTAGGGGTTGTCTACACTAAAAAGCTAATTTGGATTAAGTATAGTGGGAATTCAAAGCACAACAGATCTTTTGGAATAGCTCCATGTATAGAGAAGTCCTTATACCCAGGTATACTTTGAATGGAAATTATTCTATTTTGTTCTGAAAAATGGAGCTCATCTTAATTAATTTGAAGTGATGGGTAGAGGTGAAGGTTCTGTATGCATCCTCCTTATGGAAATAGTTGGAAAACAGCTGCCATCTGGTATAATTTGATTCATTTCAAGGGCAAAACAAATGTTTTGGAGATCAGCTCTAAAGGTAATGCAAGCTTCGCAGGACCCAAAAGGAAGCAGCTGTACTCAGATAGCAATGAAAGCACCCATGCCAAATGCCTTCAGTTGGGTAAGTGAGCCTCTTCCCCTGGAAGTACCTATACACTGGGCACATCTACATGTGCATTAATGTGCTGTAGTTACAGCTCATTAAGCTTAGTACCTGAAATAACAGGTACTAACTCAACGCACAGTTACTGGTGCTACTGTGCAGTAGCGCCGGTGCATGCCTTTTTAGTAACACTAATGTGAAGTAGACTAATTCTATTGCGCATTATCGAAATAGCACAGCTTTTGCCATGACATGTTAATGTGGAGTAGAATTAGTCTACTGTGCATTTAGTGTCTTGTGTAGATGTGCCCACTGTGATTCACACCTACCACAATCTGATCTTATGTTTCCAGACAGCCTGGATGTTCCACATCTGCCGCTAAATCTTCAGCTAATATAAATTACCTTCAAGGGAGCTATGACAATTTATACCAGCTTAAGGATCTTTCAAACTGACATTGATGTCATTAAACCAGTCCCTTCAGCACATATATATAAAACTTCCTGGACACTGGGTCCATCTGTGTGCTCAGTTACAATAATGGAAAATGAATAGTAATTTAATTGATAGGTTTAATTAAGGGCTCTTAAGTCCAACAGTGTTCAGCCAGTGTAATTGTACTGGCACCAGCATAAAAATGAAGGAAGTTTATTATTAAGTCTTTAAATAAACAGAACCAGCTGTCATGGTCCATACAATAAGCAAAGCAAACTTAACTGAGGGCCAAATTTCCTCCCAGCTATGCTGACAGTAAATACAATATAATCATGGAATTATTCTGGCTTTCTAGGGTGTAATTTAGAGCAGAATCTTGCCCATAGGATTCTCAGAGTGCTAAGTGAAAATATGAATTTATCTGTATTTTGAGATTTGATTGATATTTAGAAATCAGAAATTAAGAGAGAGAGAGAGAGAGAGAGAGAATTGAAGAAAATAGTCAATTCTGATGAAACCAGGCAGGGTTTTTATTTACAATTCCCACTCTACTTAATCATCAGTAGCCTACCCATTGGCCTGCCCTGAGATTGGGTCTCTGGCTCCAAGGCCCTGCTGGTGAACCTGGGCTTCAAGGGTCTTGGATTACTTGGAAGCAAGGAACCCTCTACCTCTCCAGGCTCCCTAGCTTCATGGTACACTGCTGGCAGGCTGCCCCGAAGAGCATCCCAGGTCTTTCTTACTCTACACACTGCCTGCTCACTAGTGTAATGTTTAGCTAGCTAACTCCTCAGCTAGCTTGTATGCTGGGCTGCCCACCTCGGTGGCCTGCCTGGCAGACAGCCTGCTGAGTTCCCCAGCAAACCAACCAGGTGGACAGCCTGGGAGTCAACTGGAAATGCACAAAAATTCATTTCTAGGTCTTTCTAAACAGATTTTCTTAAAAACCTTTCTGTTCAATGGGGAATTCTGAATTTCAATTTCATTTTTTTCAGAAATATGAATTTTTTCAACTCCTGCATGGCTCTACAAATAGGCACTTCTTAGAGGAAGCGCTGCTAACTTTGGTACCTTCCCCTCACAGATCTTAATAACTGATTTTGAGGAGTGCAATTGCATAACACATCAGTGCTACTTTCGCAGCATGTCACTGTGTATGAGACACCAAGAATATAACTCAACTACAGGATAAAGGAACAGGTAGAAAAACAGTACTCACGTGGTACACACGATCCAAACTTATCAGGGAATTCAGATATCAAATCATCGTTGATCCGATCTTTCATAGGACCCAGAATAATAACTGGTCTAGTATAATTAACTGAATAACAGAAAGAAAAAACAGCTTAATAAAGATGATAACTTTCCTTACTCTGGCAGTAACATCAAATATTCATAGTAACTCATGGAAATAGTTTTACTGTCCATAGGTTTGGACCAAAGTCTTAGATGTCAATTTACAGTAATTAATTTTTGGAACGTAGAAGTAAAATGCAAATGGATACTACTTAGTATGAAAGGCACAGAGCCAGAGTTTTCTGATGAATGGCATATACCCATGCAGCCAATGGACTGTTGATACATAATGGGTGCATTTACACATGCGCTTTACTGCAGTTGACTAATTAGCTCCACCGTAAAGCATTACAGTTTACACATGCACCAGTATTAAGGCGGAGTAAATTAATTAACTCCACTGTAGCAGAGTAATATAGTCCACCAAAACGCACATGTAGATGGTAACTGGGGCTGGCTGGGGCATGAGGGTGCTAAAGTGTGGGGGCTGCCTGGTGGCTTGCTCTGTACTGGAGCACCCCTGTGCCCCAGCCAGCCCCTCCACTACACAATACTGCCATCTGGAACCCAGGTCTAAACCTCCAGGCCCTCTGCCAGCCCAGGGCTATTTTGCCCTGGCTCAGGCTGCTGTGGCCCTAGGTGCACATGTAATGTAGTCTGCCTGGGAGCAGCTGACTTCAGTGCTAATTGCGCCAGAGTTTATTGCATCACACTAATAGCATATGTAGATGCACCCAGTGAGTAGCAAGTCTATTTACATTATAAGCTCTTTGTGGCAGCGACTCTCTCTCATTCATTGCTTGTACAGCACCTGGCATAACATAGCTCAAATTCTGGCTGCTTTTAGGCATGATAAATATTAAGAAAAGCAACACAACATCAGGTGAAACTTACTTTCCTGTCTTGTGACAGGTTCATAAGAAAGAATGCAGTCTTCTTGTCCCCCTGATAAGAGAAGAAAGAAAATAAATTAAAACTGACAGGCAGCACTTCCGATAGAAAAGATTTATGAATTGCTTTGTATAGAAGCAGATCAGGTTTAATATTTGTCTCTGACTGCTCTAACCTGAACCATTCCAAAGTCTCTCACAACTTCACGGTAGTTTTCCCCCCACTATTTATTTAATCGTCTGCACTGACAAATGAGCTTTTTCAAGGATACAGTATAGCAGTAGCTATGGTAATGAAGCTTCTTCTATTGATTCATTAGCAGTGGTACTTCATAGGAGTCTGGCATGATTTTAACAGATCATGATTTTAACAGATAGTTGTCTTGCTTGGCAGCTTATTATGAGACCTCCTGGAATACCCTAGGAAAAATTCTCCCATCTGCAATGGCCCAACACACCACTCCAGGGTAAGCCTCTAGGCTGGTTCACGTACTCTGGGGCCACATCAGTCCTCACAATAGATGCTAATTAGAAGGGCACAATGTTGACTTAACCCTCTCCCTACCCTCTGGGTATGAGTTTTGTGCTGCAACTTTAGATAAGCAGTACAAAACCAAAACGTGATCAATTTGACTAAGAAAGGGTAGCTTCACTGGTTTAATGCACGTTCTAGTACATTAATTATTGGCCCATGTGATCACATGCCCTAAGAAAAAATGATTGGGTTTATTTAGAGAAGAGGAGGCTGAAGGGCCACATGGGAACAGTCTTCAACAATGTAAAAGTGAGGAAGGTAATAAATTATTCTCCACGTCCACTGTGGATAGGATAAGATGGAATGGCTTTGAATTGCAGCAGGGAGATTTAGGTCAGACACTAGGGAAAACCTTCTAGCTGTAAGGAACATTAAGTACTAACTCAGTTTGCCTAGGGAAGATGTGATATCTCCATCACTGGAGATTTTTAAGAACAGGTTAGACAAACATCTGTCAGGAATGGTTTAGATCTAGTTGATTCTGCTGTGGAGCAGAGGAATAGACTAGATAACCTCTCAAGGTCCCACCCAGATGTATTTTCTATGATTTGACAGGTAAACTCAGGGTCAGATAGGTGGGCACAGGACCACATACATCCTCAGGAATTTTGAGGACCTCCCATTTTATAATAGTCTCACTAGAAGCCCCGGGCAGATAAAGGAAAGGAACATGGATATATTCCTGGAGTCCCAAGCTAGTGTCCTAACTAGACAAGAGGAGAAATGAAGCAATGCCTGGTTTCCTCTCCCTCACCTCAGTTTAGCAATGAACTTAAAAGCTTCAATTTGGGGCAAACCTCTCATTTGAGTTCTGCAGTTATTACTACACACAAATACAGTGTATGCCCTTCATGTCATTCTTGTCTACTATTTACTTGAGAAATGGAAAACCATGAAATTGAGGTTACAGATGGAGACATCCATGCTTGACAAAGGCATTCTATAACTTTTTCAGTTTCTTGTGAGAGTAATGTGGGCGCACCTCTCATTTTGGGTCTTTGTCAGATGTTTGTGCCACACATCTGGCCTTTGACAGCCTCAAAATATAGTTCAGGCTCAGGGAGGTTTAGGATGATGATGTCTTACCCTGTTTATTGACTATCTACATTTCACACTTCACTTCTGTGCTCTGAAAGAGATTTTAGCTGATGGAACAATTCAAAACTCCCTTAGGAAAGGGCCAAGCAAAGATTTGAAAGGTGCTAATGATTTCACTGAACAGGCTCCTCTCATTTCATCTGCCTGCACTTAAATGAACCTTTCAGCATGCAGGTCAACAAAGGGCATGTCTACATGAGAAACTTACTGCACAGTAGCCTAATAACACTGCGTAGTAGCATGCTTGTCAAAACCATGCTAATATGCTACTGTACAGTGTTATTAGGCTACTGTGCAGTAAGCAGCACAAAAAAAACCTTACACTGGCACTGCAAGTACTAAACGCTCAGTAACTACTGCATATTAATGAACATGTAGATACACCCAAATATACAAAAATCTGATGCCTGTGGCAAGAAGAACTTAAGGAAGAACAAGAAGGTTAACACTGGGAGCATCTACACATGTGCAGTTACTGTGCAGTAACTGAAATTACTGCACAGTACGGCTGCGTGTCTACATGTGCATGCCCATACTGTGCAGGAAATACAGTAACTGATGCTGACTTGAATGCATATTTGATACCTGCATCATGGAGGTATCAAATTTATGCCCGATTAGTTACTTTGCAGTAATGAACGTGTAGATGCTATACTGCACAGTAACACTGTGTGTATGGACTGACTTGGACTAATTTGGGACTAAAGTTAGTCCCATGTCAGTCCACACACAGCATTAATGTGTTTAATGTCTGCACGTGTAGATGCCAGCCTATTCACACTTACTGTGCAGTAACTTACTGTGCAGTAAATTTAGGCTGGCATAAATGCATATGTAGACATGCCGACTGTGTCCCTGATGTGTTTTTAGACCCATGAAAACGTGTGTCAGTCTTCTCTACAGCCTAATCTATTATGGCATAAAATGACAGTGACAGAAAGGAAGGAACTGCAGGTTTTACTATGCATTTTGGCCCAGTTCCTAATAGACACACGTTCACATCATAGTACTGGCACTAAACTGGCACTTTCATCCCTGTTGGCAGTAACAACAGAGAATGGGCAACGGAGAGAATGCCATTTTTTTTTAATTCATAAAGGCCTCGAGAAATCCAGGCCAAACTGAAGTCATTTACAAAATTCCTGTTGACTTAAATTGGGCTGGGATTTTAACTACTGACTCAGGAAGCTATTTATCCATATGAGTAGACATTTTGGGTGCATCCAGACAAGTGTGGATGTGCGGATGACTCCTGGGGTCAAAAATACACACACCAAAAAAAAGTTGGGGCGCGCAGGTGGTAGCGGTGTGCACTGCCCAAAACTGGAGCCTGGCTGGCCGGAGCCATCCTGCAGCTACCATCCAGGTTTCCTGGTGTAGGAGCACTGCAGCTGCAGCTCCCTGAGGCCCACAGGACCCCAGGGAAGGCTTCAGGGGCCAGCACAGTTGCTGGCCCCAGCCTCCCCTACCCCACTCAGGGTAACCTGCATGCACTGGAGCCTACGTGGCACAGACGTTCCTTGGGGACAAGTAGCAGTGGCACACTTTGTGCCACTGCTACTTGTCCCCAAGGAAACACATGTTCCCGCTTGTGAGGATGTGCCCTTTGAAGTCAACTGGACTTCTTGCATGCTTAAAATTAAGTGCATTTTTTAATTGGGTAAGCAAATTCCTCAGGGCCACATTTGAAGTCCACTGGGCACCATGGAAATCTGCAGCCCGTCCTTTGTTTTACTTGTGTGGATAGCAAGCACTGATCATCAGTTTCCATGGGCATTCATTTCTTTAACGTGTATGCTGCTGTGTGTGGGGAATATAAAATATATCTGGTAAGTCTTCAAGGGCTGATCTGTACATCAGTTGTAAAATAACTGAAGCCGTCTTTGAGGTATTGAATATAACAAAGAGATACAGAATTAATTTAGTGTGGGAACACTACAACAGTGCAATGGTTTTGAGGTATGGGTGAAATTCAGTGGGGTAGAAGCTTTTATTTACCATTTAACTAAGCCTCATTTACCACCCACCTGAACAGCTTAATTAGTGCATGCTGACTCTGCTCTTATGGAACTGTAGGGTAGAACTGAATGGAAAATGACATAATTTTCTCCTTTGGACTTTAAAAGAAAATTCATCAGAGGGTTAAAAAAATGAGAATGGATTAAAAGTGGCTCCAAAACCAGAGAGCCTAGTTTCCTGTCCTGGTCCATTCCAGGTTTGGAAAACTGTATAGATAACTTAAGTTGCATTTGTATGGGTTTACTTTAAGATATCTATATTTGGAGTCTCGGCTTGTTTATATAGTTTGCCTCAGGTAGACTCAGTCCCTTCCATGGCACCTACATTCGTGTAAGGGAGCATTACTTCTTGTAATCAGATGATGACAGCTGTTTTACTGTAGTAATTACAAAGGAAAAAAATGAGCTGAGGGAGCAAATGTGTACATCCATATATGCAGCTGCTGAGAATTAATTTTTGATTCACAAGTAGGCTGTACAATCTGTGTAGTTCATGATCAGCTTTATATAGAGACTTTAACAGCAAGGCAAAGCAGAGCATGGTAGGGAGAGCAGTCCTCTGTGGGTGTAGGTACTAGTCCAAATTATATAAACCTTCCCTTTTGGACTCTCCTGAGAAACTGCCCAGGAATAGCTTAACCTTGTTCTGCGTATAAGAGGTTCATCACATAAATAACAGTACCGGCCAAATACAGAGTGTAAGATATGGTCTATAAAGCTCTTGTAAAAAAAGTTTTAGTCATGTGTTGCCAATTTAGTTAATTGGTGCAATTATGACCAATTATACAATTAGGCTAAATAGAAGTAGTAATGCATGTGTAATTTTGATAATGGCTTTGGTAAAAAACCTTTACTGAATTGTGTGTAACAGTATACACGTGCACAGCTCTTGTGGGAAGCTGCTTTCAAAAAACAAGAAACACCTAAAATGAGTTCCTAGAGACTTGGTCTGAAATATGAAAACAGCTCATGTTTGGGGCTCATGAGACGCATTTGAAACCTGAAAACTTTGTTTGCTTAATTGCTTCTCTGATAACTAGATGTATACTTAGTTCAAGGAGAATTATTTCCTTCTCAAACAAGACTTCCCATGCCACAGTGGAAACAGGAGCTTAACAGATCAGAGGTTGACTTTTATTTCTGCTCTGAAATGGGGCGGTGTGGCTTTCAGTGAATCAATCAAGCTGTAATCGTCTGAAAGCCACTGGTCCTTGTGCTTTCCTATGAGAATTCATTACACACATTTTGCAAAAGAAAAAAGATTCATTACAAAGGACAGATTAATTGTCAGGGCTAGTCCAAAATTCTCATTGAAACCGAATGTATTGGTTTTTAAAGAAATGACTATTTTTATGAAAATATTTGACCCCATGGAGAATATTTTTTCACTAGAAGTCCCAACAG